CCAGCCGCGCTCAGTCCCGGGACGCGCAGTCACTGCCTCTCCCCACAGGGGCTGCCACCCACATTGAGGGGTCCTAGAGCTGCTTGGCAACACTGGCACCCCCATGACCAACAGCTCCACCCTCTCAGGGCTGCAGCAACCAGAGCAGCCCTCGCCTCCGCAGGCACCCTGGTGGGAGGTGGGGGAGACGGGAGCTCAGAGCAGCGGCGCCCAGAGCTGCCAGGCTGATTTGTCCTCTCCCTGACTCACGACTCAGCCGCTGACACTGCCCCAAACACCTTCTCTGCCCAGGGGCCCTGGCTGCGCCCAAATGTGGTGGACATGAAGATCTTGGGACAGGGTCCTGTGGGACAATATCTCTGTGACCCAAGGTCTTCAGATGGGGCAGGAGGAAAGACAGATCCAGGATCCCCAACTCAGTGCCCCAGCCCACCTGGCCCAGGCCAAACTCTCACTATTGTCCCCAAACCTGCCCCTTTCTCAGGTCCTCACCTCCAGAGCCTTCAAATTAGAGACTTGGCCCTGGCTGGTGTGGCTCAGTGGTTAGAGAGTCAGCGCACACACCCAAGGGTTGCAGGTTCAATCCCCAGCCCTAGTTGGGAGGCAACCAGTCCATGTGTCTCACATGGTTGTTTCTCCCTATCTCCCTCTCCCCCCCCCTTCCCGTTCCACTCTCTCTAAAAAGCAAAGGAAAAAAAAATCCTTGGGTGAGAATTAACGACAAAAAAACCCCCTGCAGACTTAGACATCATCCTCTACACCCTCGCCCCAACCATCCCATCCTGCCCATCATTCTGTCCAGGGTTCTGCCTCCTAAGCATGTCTGGGGCCCATTTCAGGGCAGCTGGAGGATTCTCTCACTCCCTTGCTTCATGGCCCCCTCCATGGTCCCCAGGGCCCTGAGGATGGAATATCCATCTGATCGATCCATCACTTATAGGCCTAGCATTTGAAAACTCTCTGACTTCAGGTTGCTGACTTGGCCTCATTTCCTCTGCTGCACCAGACAGTTCACCATTTTTCGAGCAATCCTGCCTTTTTAGACGCCTCAGACCTCTCCAGCTCAAAATGCCTCTATTCTTTTTTCTCCATCCAACAAACTTCTATCCACTCTTCAAAGCCCAGCTCCACTGCCCCCTTCCCTACAGCAAAGCCTTGGCCTGTCCATCCCCAGGCAGAGTTAGTAGTCCTCATCCACATGCCCTGCCCTCCATTCCCTCCATCCCTGTCTGGTGCTTCTGGCACAACCTGTTATCAACTTGGTGAGAGCCTGGCCCAGACCTACCTTTGTCCTGCCCAGACTCCAGGCCAGGCACTGAGGCGCGCGCTTGGGACACACACACACACACACACACACACACACACACTGGGCCTCCCTACCACCCACCATCTTCTTCCTCACTTCACTCTCCTGTTTTCAGCGGGCACACTGCCTAACCCTCAAAGGGAGGTAAGGCCTTAAGGGCAACTGCCTCCCACTTGCACCCTCAACCTCAACTCACTCATTCAATTAATTATTTACTAAGAATCTACTATGTTCCAGACATTGTGCTACTTAGTAGGAAAACATTTGAACAAACATATAAATAAAGATTATAGGCAGTGCCATAAAGGAAATAAATAGGCCATCACAGTAGAGAATAAGTGATCCCTTCGTGTGAGGAATTCAGAAAGACCTCACAAATAACACGACATTTGAGCAGAGAACAGAGGTGGCAAGGAAGCCTTTTTGTGGGTATCTGAAGAAATTGAGGTCTAGGCAGACCAAGCAGGAAATACTAAGGCCCTGGGTAGGGCAGGGAGAGGAAGCATGTTTTTGTTTGTCCTAAGAGCAATGAAGAAATGGCTGGAGCGGTGTAAGTGAGGTGACGAGAAGTAGTAGATGAGGTCAGAGGATGTGGGGACAGGAAGGTTGACCATGTTGACCTCGTAAGCCACAGGAAGGACTTTGGATTTCACTCTAAGATGAGAAGCCAGAGGAGTGGCATGACTTGAACTTTTATGTTTTAACCAGGATAACTCGGGCTGCTGTATGGAGAATAAGACTGTAAGGGGCAAAGGTGGAAGCAGGGAGACCAGTTAGTAGGCATGACTGCATTCAACCCTCACTAATCCCTAACTAGCCCCCTTTCCTCCAGAGCTCCAGCCCCAGTCCAGGCCCCCACATTCTCCTGCCTTGGTGCTGTAATAGCCTCCTGCCTGGCCTTCCTGTCTCCTGTCTGGCCCCTCAGTCCCATCCCACATAACAGCAAAGGGAGCTTTTTAAAATGCATTTCTGATGCACTCCTATCTATTAAAATTCCTGGCTCCCCACTGCTCTCAGGACA